GTCATTTTTCTAGCAGATGCGATTGATACAGTGTTATGGTCCTTGAAGGTGAGATCCTCCGACATGATCACTCCAGGTCTTTGACGTTGGTGTTTCGCTCTATTTTGTGGCCAGAATTTGTTTTGTACTCTGATGAAGATTTAATTTCCTCATGTTTACCATATCTGAGTAATTGAAATTTCTCATCGTTGAACTTCATATTGTTTTCTGCAGCCCACTGAAAGATTTGGTTGATGTCTGCCTGGAGCTTTGCAGTGTCTGCAATGGAAGACACTGTCATGCAGATTCGGGTGTCATCTGCAAAGGAAGACACGGTGCTGTGGCTGACATCCTTGTCTATGTCGGATATAAGGATGAGGAACAAGATGGGAGCGAGTACTGTGCCTTGTGGAACAGAGCTTTTCACCGTAGCTGCCTCGGACTTTACTCTGTTGACGACTACTCTCTGTGTTCTGTTAGTGAGGAAATTATAGATGCATCGACCGACTTTTCCTGTTATTCCTTTAGCACGCATTTTGTGCGCTATTACGCCATGGTTACACTTGTCGAAGGCTTTTGCAAAGTCTGTATATATTACATCTGCATTCTTTTTGTCTTCTAGTGCATTTAGGACCTTGTCGTAGTGGTCCAATAGTTGAGACAGCAGCAGATCCTCCACAAAAGTCACAAAACTCCCATACTACTGAATCTAAGTTCAGCATAAGAAAATCCCCGACTGTGATAGTACACAGATACCAGTACAAGTTAGGTCAGAAGCTACAGCTCAGGACCTGAGATGCTCAGAGTGTCTATGCGACACACAACCTCAGTACAACGTTGAAAATCACTAAGTCTTTACAATGTTCTGTGAACAGAGTCCCACAGAACCTACAAGAAAGCTAGAGACGATCTTCCAACAAGGGCCTATAAGGGAGATTTAGGCACTTGTCAGGGATACGTCCAACCACCAAGAGAGTCTAGACCAGACTGAATACTTCAGGCGAGGTGAAGACACCCCCCCCTTCTCGATCACGTGATAGCTCCGTGGACAGCTGCAGCTCAGCAACAGAAGCTGGCAGAATAACGAGCAAAGAGCGATAATTACAGTAGTTAGACAATCAAGACTTGAACTTTGAGCACATAATATATGTGTTACATCCTACCTAACAAAAGGAAACTAAGTCAAATAATAATATAAAGCAAAATATTTACGATTTAGCTATTATCACAAATATAAGCAATATAAAATTATATGAAAAGGTAATATACATGTAATATATATACATATTAATCATTACAACCCATTCAGGGGTTGCAATACTACTACTACTACTACTACTACTGCTACTACTACTACTACTACTGCTACTTCTACTACTACTTCTACTACTACTTCTACTACTACTACTACTACTACTACTACTACTACTACTACTACTACTACTACTACTACTACTACTACTACTACTATTACTACTACTACTACTTACTACTACTATTACTACTATACTTACTACTTCTTCTTCTTCTTTTTCTTCTTCTTCTTCTTTCTTCTTCTTCTTCTTCTTCTTCTTCTTCTTCTTCTTCTTCTTCTTCTTCTTCTTCTTCTTCTTCTTCTTCTTCTTCTTCTTCTTCTTCTTCTTCTTCTTCTTCTTCTTCTTCTTCTTCTTCTTCTTCCTTCTTCCTTCTTCTTTCTTCTTCTCCTCCCCGTCCCCCCCTTTTCTTCCTTCTTCTTCTATACTCTCGTGTAGCCAAAACATTGCTGGGACCTATAAATACTTTGTATATATTCCTAGACAATAGTAAATGACCAAGGCAGGTGTAAATGTCCACCTGTCAATGTTTTTGTGACAGTTTAAGTACAATTTCAGTACCTAATATTAGTGTCAGAACAGGATTGGTTATGAAGTGCCAAGAAATACAGTAAATTGTAATTATCAGAACATAAAAATTATATAAAATAATATAAAAATGAGAAAGAATGGTATATCGGCAACACTTCCTCAAGCAGCAGGACTCGATGTTGCCGTCAGGTGAGCATCCAGTGCCAACTTTGCAGCCTCATATCTCAATAAGTATTGACCCTAATTCTTTTATTTTACTCCTATTACACTTAGAATTTTTTTCTCTGTATTTCAATGAAAAAAATTATTTTTTTATTTTTTCAAAATAGTATTTGGGACACCGGGGGAGAGAACGTATATGTACATTTGGACCATTTAGGGGTTAATGTGCCCAAGAGTGATTATTATTACAAAATAGAAATATGTGCTCACGAACAATGTAAACAAACCGGGTGGCGGTCGCCGCATTTGAAAGACCGCTCACCGTATAGAAAGTTTTGGTCATAATTTGAAATCACCGTATTAGCAGAACGCGTAAAGCGAAATGCCGTGAAGCAGGGCTCTGTTGTATACTAAAATACAGTGGACCCCCGGTTAACGAACTTTTTTCATTCCAGTAGTATGTTCAGGTGCCAGTACTGACCGAATTTTTTCCCATAAGGAATATTGTGAAGTAGATTAGTCCATTTCAGACCCCCAAACATACACGTACAAACGCACTTACATAAATACACTTACATAATTGGTCGCATTTGGAGGTGATCGTTAAGCGGGGGTCCACTGTACACTGTAAATGACGAACTACTAAAAGTATCTAATTGGATGGCAACCAACAAACTTACTCTCAATAGGGACAAAACCTACTTCATGCTGTTTGGAAACAGAGCTTCAAATGTTCAGCTAAACATATCAATAAATGATTCCCTCATTTCAAGACACACAGAGGGCAAATTTCTAGGTCTCCACCTTGACTGCTGTCTTAAATTTCAGACTCACATACAGCAAATATCTAAGAAAGTGTCCCAAACAGTAGACATCCTTTCTAAGATATGGTACTATGTACCCCAAATGGCACTTCTTGCTCTTTACCACAGTCATCTACTCCTACCTCACCTGTGATATTTGTGCATGAGGTTCAGCCACAGCAAATCACCTTAAACCTTTAATAACCCAACAGAAAGCTGCTGTGCAATTGATTACCAACTCCTGCACCAGGCAACACACTTCACTGCTTTTTAACCCTTTCAGGGTCCAAGGCCCAAATCTGGAGTCACGCACCAGTGTCCAAGATATTTCAAAAAAAAAATTTGTTATTTTTTCTTATGAAATCGTAGAGAATCTTTTTGTGAAGGTAATAAAACAAAAAGTACGAAAATTGGTGGAAAATTGACGAAATTATGCTCTCGCGAATTTTGATGTGTCAGCGATATTTACGAATCGGCGATTTTGCCGACTTTGACTCCCATTTTAGGCCAATTACATTATTCCAATCAACCAAATTCTTAGCTATTTCACTAGTATTACTTCTATTCTATCGATTGAGCACAAGAAATCGCCAAGTCAACTGTTTCAACTACAAAATAAAGTGATCGGAAATTGTTAATTTGGCCAATTTAACACAAAGTTCAAAATATTCCAATTTCAAAATAGGGTCCAGAATGAACAATGTAGGCATTCCTGGCACTAAACTAACATTTCCTCTGTTCATTAGTTATGTTTTGAGGCTTTACAAATAAATTCCATTTTGATTTTTTATTCACATAATGAATTTTTATTCACACCAAAAAATAGAAGATTTACTGTTATGCAATACTGTAATAATTGTATAAATATCATCACCATATTTGTGAATGTATATTAGACCCACCAGCTGATGTGTATTAGACGTGTGAGGTCGTTTGTTTACTCTTGAATATCGGCAAAAATTTAACATTTCCGCTACTTTGAGCTCAGTTTCAAGCCATTTCCAATGCTAAAACCAATCAAAATCATCTCTATTTCTGTAATATGTCTTCCATTCTATCAAATGAGACCAAGAAATCGCAAATACAACTATAAAAAACATACGAAAAAACACTGCAAAGTTGCTGTTTTAATCGAAAAATCATGATTTCATTTTTTTTCTCTCATTATGCACAGTGTGCTGCAGGATCTGTTTTATGTGGTGCACACATACCACATAGATGTATTCTCTCATATCTAGGCCCAAATGTACCACTCACAGTTTATCAGAGTGAGCTGAGCTCATGGCGTAGATCTACGGTTTGGACCCTGAACGTAAAGCCGTAGATCTACGGGACGGACCCTGAAAGGGTTAAGAGCCTGAACTTGCTAAATATACAAAACATCCACACATTATTGTGCCTACTACATACACAGAACATTATACTCCAGTATAAACCTTCCTCTCAAACTCCTCCTTTATAACTACAACAAAATGCACAGGCTTAACACAAGGCACAAAACACTCTTTGATATCCGTTGTGTCCATCTCTCCCAGTACAGGAATGTTATTCACATAAAGCGCCCGAAGATCTGGAATTCATTGCCTGAGCATACAAAAGGGCCCCTGCCTGCAAATCAGTTTAAGGCTCTACTTATAAATCACCTCATCACCCAAAATTAACCAGATAAACACTATACTTTATCACCTTCCAGTAACTCAAAAAACTCCTAAATAATTTATAATTGCTCAATTATTTAAGCATTACTTCAAATTTAAAATTATTTCAATCTCATTATTGTAAATTGTACTAAATTGTAATACTGTAATTCTTCATATACTTCATCTCAACTATAAATTCAATTACTGTAAACTACTAGCTACTTCTGTTGTAATAAGAAAAATGATGTACGTTTAATTAAAATTTACTACTCTCTATATCTCTAGTATTAAGTAGTCTGTAAGCATTAGGTTTAGCCTGCCTGAAATGCCCTGGCATGATAGTGGCTTTCTTTGTACTTAAATCAAAATTGTAATCACACATTGTAAACATTGCAAAGAAATATAATCTTTATTATAATTAAATAAAAAGAGGAAATTATAATATTTTTACTCCAGTTAATTATCCAAAATATGAATAGTTTGAATTGTAATTAAAGACAGTTTTGTTAGTTGGCTGAAGACTAAAGGAATATTTTTTTTTTTTTTAACTGACATTGTTTCTTTATTCACAGGTTTTAGCAGCATATGGGTTAGCACAGATGATGAGAAAATTGCAGAGTGCGCAAAGAACGGCGGGGCTAAAGTACACCATAGAGCAAAATACACAGCAGTTGATGAAGCGTCATCATTATGTGCTGTACAAGAATTCCTTCAGCATCACACAGGTATTAAAAAAAAAATTGCATAATGTTGAATGTGAGATGAGTTTTGTGAGAAAACTGAGCAAAGAAAATTCATGCAGATTATGTATATATGCAGTAAAACGTCAGTGATCTATACTGCTTGAGACCAAACCATATCCAGACAACTGATCACCACTGATATACACTGTATGTAGGATCATTACAGTACAGCATAAGTACAGTTTTTTTTAGTTATCCTAGATAATTTGCACTATGTATAATTGTATTTATGTGTAACCTGAGAAGAAAATATGACAGATATAGATACAGAGTCAGTGACATCTGCTGAGACCAACCACCATCATGCCAGCACAAGATCCAGACCAGCAGAGGTCCATTCAGCAGCATGCCAGTTTAGTACCAGCATGCAAGCAGTTAGTACCAGCAGCCAGCCAGCAGTAGTCCAGCCAGACAGTCCAGCCAGCCAGCCAGCCAGCCAGCCAGCCAGCCAGCCAGCCAGCCAGCCAGCCAGCCAGCCAGCCAGCCAGCCAGCCAGCCAGCCAGCCAGCCAGCCAGCCAGCCAGCCAGCCAGCCACAGCCAGCCAGCCAGCAGCCAGCCAGCCAGCCAGCCAGCCAGCCAGCCAGCCAGCCAGCCAGCCAGCCAGCCAGCCAGCCAGCCAGCAGCAGCCAGCCAGCCAGCCAGCCAGCCAGCCAGCCAGCCAGCCAGCCAGCCAGCCAGCAGCCAGCCAGCCAGCCCAGCCAGCCAGGCCAGCCAGCAGCCAGCCAGCCAGCCAGCCAGCCAGCCAGCCAGCCAGCCAGCCAGCAGCCAGCCAGCAGCCAGCCCAGCCAGCCAGCAGCCAGCCAGCCAGCCAGCCAGCCAGCCAGCCAGCCAGCAGCCAGCCAGCCAGCCAGCCAGCCAGCCAGCCAGCCAGCCAGCCAGCCAGCCAGCCAGCCAGCCAGCCCAGCCAGCCAGCCAGCCAGCCAGCAGCCAGCCAGCCAGCCAGCCAGCCAGCCAGCCAGCCAGCCAGCCAGCCAGCCCAGCCAGCCAGCCAGCCAGCCAGCCAGCCAGCCAGCCAGCCAGCCAGCCACCAGCCAGCCAGCCAGCCACAGCCAGCAGCCAGCCAGCCAGCCAGCCAGCCAGCCAGCCACCAGCCAGCCAGCCAGCCAGCCAGCAGCCAGCCAGCCAGCAGCCAGCCAGCCAGCCAGCCAGCCAGCCAGCCAGCCAGCCAGCCAGCCAGCCAGCCACAGCCAGCCAGCCAGAGCAGCCAGCCAGCCAGCCCAGCCCAGCCAGCCAGCCAGCCAGCCAGCCAGCCAGCCAGCCAGCCAGCCAGCCAGCCAGCCAGCCAGCCAGCCAGCCAGCCAGCCAGCCAGCCAGCCAGCCAGCCAGCCAGCCAGCCAGCCAGCCAGCCAGCCAGCCATGATTCTCTTTACTTAGGGCATAGGTTATAAGACATTCTGGCAGTATGACACTACCAGTGGTACCACAATTGAAAGGGTGTTGCACATGGATTATAATTGAGGTTTTTGATGTTTCCTCGACCACTTGTGGCCACATCTACCTCAAAGCCACTAAACTCGGGGTCAGCATCACTTTCCTCTTAAAACAGGAGTGTTAATACTACATGACATCAGTGAATCCCAGGTGTTTGCCACTCTGCTCCAGCTGGCGCTCAATTGAACTGGTGCTCTCACAAGGCACTAAGTGGTCCCAGATTTTTTTAATACTGCACACACCGAGTGTTAAGACCCATTCTCTGCTGACCAGGTATCTCAGGCCAATTGTGCCAAATTTGGAGACAGGAAAAATAAAATGTAGATATAAGTTTGGACAGTTAACAGGTTAAAGTATGTAATACATGGTTGAATTACTTAGCAAGTAATCCTGCTTTTCTCCATTTGTGAAGTACAGTGCAATATTGTAAGGTGTGTAGAGAGACAACTTAGCTAATTTATAGGATGTTGGGAGTGACCTGGGATGCAGATGTGGAAGTCAGTTTGTATAACTCAGTACTGCATATTCCAAACAACTGATCACTCTGAACAATTGATTACAGAATTCCAGATGCTCAATGGTTTACAATAAGTAGTACAGTAATTTGGAGGATACATTTCAGATTCCTTTTTTGGTTCTAATATTGTTTCATTAACCCTTGGAGTGGCTGTCATATAGATCTGTGTTACTGATTCCAGGATTCCTTATATAAATCTACTTTTTGAGCACAGCTTCCTGAGATAAACTGTGAGCAGTAAATTTTGGCCTAGATGTGAGAGAATGGGTTTGTGCGGTGAGTGTGCACAGTATGAAAATAATCCTGCTCCATGCAGTGCATGATGGGAAAAGAAAAAAATCAGACCTTGTATTTGATTTAAAATAGTAACTTTGAGGTGTTTTCTAAAATGGTTTTATTGACTGTTTCTTGGTATCATTTTATAGAATGATACCCATGTACTACTGGAATAAACATGATTTTTGTTGGGTTAAGGACCAGAAGTAGCTTGAAATTGGGTTCAAATTAGTGGAAATATTAAATTTTTACCTATTTTCCTGAAGATGTGTAAGGCCCCTACACCTCCCAGTCTGTTTAGTGGGTTTCTAATAAGTCTGATTCAATTAATTTGATGCTGTAAACCATGACCAATTATCCCTGATTTTATTTTATTATCTGAGATACAGTGGATCCCCTCATACCGTTGGCCTTACATAACGATAAATCCGCATACCGCTACATTTTATCGCTAAGATTTTGCCTCGCATACCACTAAAAAACCCGCTCAACGCTGTTCGTCCGAGACGCGTCTAATGTGCGCCCTTAGCCAGCCTCACATGTTCCGCCGGTGGCATTGTTTACCAGCCAGCCTCCGCGGTAACATCCAAGCATACAATCGGAACATTTCGTATTATTACAGTGTTTCTGGTGATTTTATCTGCAAAATAAGTGACCATGGGCCCCAAGAAAGCTTCTAGTGCCAACCCTACAGGAATAAGGGTGAGAATTACTATAGAGATGAAGAAAGAGATCATTGATAAGTATGAAAGTGGAGTGCGTGTCTCTGAGCTGGCCAGGTTGTATAGTAAACCCCAATCAACCATCGCTACTATTGTGGGCAACAAAAAGGCAATCAAGGAAGCTGTTCTTGCCAAAGGTTTAACTGTGTTTTCGAAACAGAGATCGCAAGTGATGGAAGATGTTGAGAGACTCTTATTGGTGTGGCATACATAGTGTGATAAGGCATGGTGAGGCTGCCAGTTCGGACCACAAAGCAGCTGAAAAATATGTGCATGAATTCAAGGAGTACATAGACAGTGAAGGACTGAAACCTGAACAAGTGTTTAATTGTGACGAAACAGGCTTGTTTTGGAAGAAAATGCCAAGCAGGACCTACATTACTCAGGAGGAAAAGGCACTCCCAGGACATAAGCCTATGAAAGACAGACTTACTCTGTTTATGTGTGCCAATGCTAGTGGTGATTGCAAAGTGAAGCCTTTATTGGTGTATCACTCAGAAACTCCCAGAGCGTTCAGGCAAAAGAATATCCTCAAGGCTAATTTGTGTGTGCTGTGGAGGGCAAACAGTAAGGCATGGGTCACTAGGGACTTTTTCTATGACTGGTTACACCATGCATTTGCCCCCACTGTGAAAAATTACCTAATTGAAAATAAATTAGACCTTAAGTGCCTCCTGGTGTTAGACAGTGCCCCTGGTCATCCTACAGACTTGGCAGAGCGACTTTGTGGGGACATGAGCGTCATTAAGGTCAAGTTTTTGCCTCCTAATACCACTCCTCTCCTGCAGCCCATGGACCAGCAGGTCATTGCAAACTTCAAAAAACTGTACACAAAAGCTCTGTTTGAAAGGTGCTTTGTAGTGACCTCAGAAACTCAATTGACTCTAAGAGAGTTTTGGAGAGATCACTTTAATATCCTCAATTGTGTAAACCTTATAGGTAAGGCTTGGGAGGGAGTGACTAAGAGGACCTTAAACTCTGCTTGGAAGAAACTGTGGCCAGAATGTGTAGTCAAAAGGGATTTTGAAGGATTTGAGGCTAACCCTGAGAAGCGTATGCCAGTTGAGGAATCAGTTGTGGTATTTGGGAAGTCCTTGGGGTTGGAGGTTAGTGGGGAGGATGTGGAAGAGTTGGTGGAGGAGGACAATGAAGAACTAACCACTGATGAGCTGCTAGATCATCTTCAACAGCAAGAGGCCAGACCTGAGGAAACTGCTTCGGAGGAGGGGAGAGAGAAATTGAAGAGGTTGCCTACTTCAAACATTAAGGAGATATGTGCAATGTGGCTTAAAGTGCAAATCTTTATGGATGAAAATCACCCTCAGACAGCTATTGCAAGCCGTGCTGGTGACTATTACACTGGCAATGTTGTGAAACACTTTAGGAATGTCATAAAGGAACGAGAGGTACAGACCTCTATGGACAGATATGTTGTGCGACAGAAGTCCAGTGACTCTGAAGCTGGTCCTAGTGGCATTAAAAGAAGAAGGGAAGTAACCCCAGAAAAGGACTTGACACCTCAAGTCCTAATGGAAGGGGATTCCCTTTCTAAACACTAAGACCATCAACACTCTCCCCCCCTCCCATTCCATCAATCATCACCAGATCTTCAATAAAGGTAAGTGTCATGTAGCTGTGCATGTCTTCTTCAGTTTGTGTGTATTAAAATTAATATTTCATGTGGTAAAATTGTTTTTTTTTCATACTTTTGGGTGTCTTGCACAGATTAATTTGATTTCCATTATTTCCCATGGGGAAAATTAATTCACCTAACATTGAGCTCTCAGGAACGGATTAATAGTGTTATGCAAGGGTCCACTGTACTAGTACACCTAAATTCTAGCACCCTCAAATCTAGTGAGAGAAAGCTGGTAGGTCTACATATGTAAGAATGGGTCTATGTGGTCAGTGTGCGCAGTATAAAAAAAATCCTGCAGTACACAGTGCGTAATGAGAAAAAAAAAAACTTGAACCGTGTTTTTGGATTAAAACAGCGAATTTGCACTGTATTTTCGTATGGTATTTATTGTTGTATTCTACTTTTCTTGGTCTCATTTTATAGAATGGAAGACATGTTACAAAAATAGAGATGATTTTGGCTGGTTTTACAATGAAAAGTACCTTGAAATTGAGCTCAAAGTAGCGGAAATGTTCGATTTTTACCAAAGTTCAAAAGTAAACAAATCATGCCAAGCGTCCAATACACATCAACTGGTGAGTCTAATATTCATTCACAAGTGTGCTGATATTATTTATACCATTTCTACACTAATGCAGTAGTTTGCATAAAAGTAAATCTTATTTTATTTTGTAAGAATAAAAATTCAAAGTGGAAAGCCAAAGAAATATAAGAGGGGCCTGGGGATGTGACTAACAAACAGAGAACGTGTTATTTTAGTGCCAGGAATGTCTTTCTTGTTTATTCTGGGCGCTATTCGGAAATTGGCATCTTTTGAAATTTGTGTGAAATTGGCAAAATTGCTAAATTCTGACCACTGTATTGGATAGTTGAAATCGGTAAATGGGTGGTTTCTTGTACTCATTCGATAGAAAAAATGGAGTTCTGCTAAATAGTTATGGTTTTTGTCGACTAGTACACTGGAATTGGCCGAAAATGGGGCTCAAAGTGGGCAAAATTGTCAATGCGTAAGCATCGTCAAGACCGCTAACTTTGCGAGAGCATAATTCCATAAGTTTTCCATCAAATTTCATACTTTTGGTGTCATTATGATCGGGAAAAGATTCTCTATCTTTTCATGAGAATTTTTTTTTTTTTTTTTTAAATTTGGCCGACCCTGAGAACAAGTCTCTGAGAGGACCTGTCGACCCCCAAAGGGTTAAGGGTCTAAGGTGGTTGGCTGTGGTAGAGCCCCAGGCACAGATACCATAGGTGAGGTAAGGATATATTACATAGTGGTACAAGGTAAGGGGAGTTGTTTGTGCTACATAATAGCGTATCTTGGCAAGGATTCCTACTGATTTGGAAATTTTCTTGGCTATGTTATGGGTATGGGACTGAAATTTAAGATTACAGTCTAGAAGACCTAGAAATTTGCCCTCTGTGTGTCTTGATATAGGGGAACCATTTAACAGTATGTTGAGTTGAATATTTGAGACTGTTGCCAAACAGCATGAAGTAAGTTTTTTCTATGTTAAGTGTGAGTTTGTTGGCCATCATCCAAGCATATATCTTTAGCAGTTCATTGTTTACCCAGGGCAACATGGGTTTAGAGCAGGTCGCTCATGCCTGTCCCAGCTACTGGACCACTATGACAAGGTCCTGGATGCTGTAGAGGATAAACAAAATATAGATATAGTATACACAGACTTTGCAAAAGCTTTCAACAAGTGTGACCATGGCGTAATTCAAAGTTTATTCTCTATAAAGATTACAATGTTGAATTTACAGAATTTGGTTGTTGTGTGGGTTACATGTAGTTAAATAATGATTACAGAGTGTACCACTAGAACGCCTAGCATGGCTAGGCATTTCGGGCAGACTTAGTTTAATTCTTTATTTTAAAATATTACAAATTATGAGGTAAAAACATGAGGAAAACACGAGGAAAACTTGTGGTACTGCCAGCCAGGACACAACCCTCATCACCCACCGGCACCACCACAACACACGACAGACAACAACAAACATGGCCGCCGCCACAGTCCAAGATAACTCCTTCCCAGTATTTGATGTCAAGAAGATCACCGACCCAGAAATAGCTAAACTCCTTACGATTCAGAACCAAACGATCACCAAACTAACTCAAGAAATGCAGGAACTAAAAGCTAGCAATGCAGATTACCTCAACAAGATCACTGCTCTAGAACATAAACTAGACACTCTGGAACAACAAAGCAACACCCACACCCAGTCCCTAGACACTATCAACACTCTAAAAGACCAAGTCACCCTACTTACTACCAACATTACAGAGGAAAGATCAAGAGTGGACCAACAACTTGCCAATGTCATAACCAACTTCCAAGACCATAATGACCAACAACAGCTATCTGATGCTGTTGTAGTTAACAGCAAACATCTAACACCCACAGTCACCCAAGAGACCTGCATGGAGACCACCCTACAGCTTATCAAGGACCACCTTTGCCTTAACATACGTAGTGATGACCTAAAGGATTGCAAACTGATGGGCTACCAAGCAGGTAAAAAAACAGTGCTGTTAAAATTCCAAACTAGCCTACAAAGAAACAACCTACTAAAAACATCTATTTCTATGAAAATTGATGTTTACATCAATGAGTGCCTTACCAAAACAAGACAAAACCTTCTTTATCGGCTAAGAAAATTACGCTATGCCCAAAAAATCCACCAGTGCTTTGTGAGGGATGGAAAAATCGCAGTTAGGAAGCAGCCCACTGGGAAGAGATACTTCATCTCTACAGAACATGACCTTAAAACATTCCTAAGTGAGGCTGGACTAACAGAATCAGAGTAAAGTGCAGATAATACCCACAGTCCACAGTTAGTGTTATATTGTCATAAATTTGTGCCCCCCTAAAATTCTAATACCCCAACTGCTTTTGATTGTCATTGTTGTATTCAACGACCATTCTACCTCATAGTCTTAATTTGTTTAATATCTACAGAATCTATCTCCTTTTTTTACAACTTACCGCATCACTGTTCCATCTTATTTTATTATAAACTAGCCATAACTTGTCCTCAATAATTCTACCTCACTTTAAGAAATACTCAATTGCCCAATTTTATTCTAAAATCCCTATTATTGCCCAATTTTGCTTTAAACTATATTGATCAAACTTATTGTAAACTTCTTTTATTGACCATTTTATTCTATACTTTTTTTAACTAGTATTTTCAACTACAACTTTTATATTATCCTGTCTACCATCTTACTAGCATATTATAACCAAGTCATTGCCATTTTTATTTTTATCATTTTTTTTTATTACTATTCTTTTGCTACCTTAATTTGTGTATTTTATCCTGTCAATTTAAATCTAGTTATACTCTAATTCTTGTAAACAACTTATATAAGACCTTAGTGCAATTACAATTGAGAATCTTGTGCCTTTTTTATATTATTAGATTAAACACAGTTGTACAATAGTCAATACCAAATTCATTATATTAGACCATAGTGCAATTACTAGTGAGAGACTGGTGCTATTTTTAATTTGTATTTTTATATTATTAGATTAAATCTAGTTGTACTATAGCTCATTCTAGCTCAAAACATAGACTCCACAAAAGTCATTATATTAGACCTTAGTGCAATTACAAGTGAGAGTCTTGTTCTATTTTAAATTTGTATTTTTATATTACTAGTTTACACCTAGTTGTACTTTAGTTCATTCCAGCACAACACATAGACAACATCAACTTCATTATGTGTAGTAGTGACTATACTCTATATGACCAAAATACTCTAGCTATATACTTATCCAAACTTCCCACCACTACAGATATCAGTACTAGAACTCAACACACAACTCAGGATATAAATAACCATAATTTAAACCTAGAAGATGATTGATCACGTTGACCCTGATCTAAACCTCCATAATCTGACACCCAATCAAAACCTATTGGAAAGTAACTGCCTTTATTACACAGCAACACAAGCCAGCACTATCCTAAACAATGCTAAAAGTCTATCAGTACTTAACTACAACATCAGGTCCTTAAGCAAACACTATGATGACCTCCTGGCACTCCTTGAATCACTAAAGACACCCTTCTCCTGCATTATTCTTACTGAGACCTGGCTTAAGCAGGACACAATAGATATCTACCCTCTACCAGGATACACAGCAATTCACAACTGCAGACCAAACCAAGTTGGGGGTGGTATTGCAATCTATTACTCTAACCAGTTATCTTGTATTAGCACCACTTGCTTTAGTGATGAATATGGGGAATACATTTTTGCTAATTTTACTGTAAAAAACCTTAAGACACCTTTAACAATCGGTGCCATTTACCGGATACCTCACACAAACATCCCAAATTTCAGTGAGAAATTAAAGTCACTAATAACAAACAGACAAATGAATAAGCACCACCTTCTCTTAGCTGGAGACTTCAACATCAACCTTGGCTTACTAGATGATCAGCCTGTAACTGATTTCATCAACAATATGAACAACACACTTCTCATACCAACAATAACTAAACCAACCAGGCTCACTGAGACAAGTGCAACCATAATAGACCACATATGGACCAATATACTAGCCCCCCTTAAATCAGGGATAATCACAGATAGCACTACAGACCACTACCCTACCTTCCTCCTGACAAACATTAGTAAACCACCACTTGAATTCAACTGTATCAAAAGCTTTACATAAATCAGTGAAAATTCCCAGTGGGACTTCTTTCTTTTCGAGTGCGGTATATATTAGTTCTAGCGTGCGTGTGATAGCATCATTTGTGCTTTTATCATTCCTGAATCCAAACTGACAAGGGTTTAATATGTTGTGTGAGACGAAGTAGGAATAGATCCGTCTATGAATTAATTTTTCAAAGATTTTAGAGAGCAGTGGTAAGTTAGATATTGGTCTATATTATTTAAGTCAGCTTGGTTTTGATATTTTTTTCACAGTGGTTGTTATGCCTAAAAAGTTCAGTAAATAATATACTATATTTAACTTTAAAGTGGGTTATGTAGCTTTTTTATTATCCTGTACATATTTTTTTTTTTTCAGAGATCAGCATTGTTTGTGTTGTTCAGTGTACATCACCATTTTTACAAGCAAGATATCTCCATAAAGGAATGGAAAAAATACAGAGTGGCTATGACTCTGTTTTCTCAGTAACACGCAGACATCTCTTACGATGGTCTGAAGGTGAGTTAAAATGAAAATAAATATATGAAATAATTTAATCGAATTCACTTGAAGGAAACTTGAAATTCAGTATCCACATTCAGCATATAACAAAAATAAAAGAAAAAGGTTTCCAAGTCAGTTGGCATCCTCCCTAAGATATGTTACTATGTACCTCAAACAACACTACTCATGTTATACTATTTTGATCTATCCCTACCTCACCTATGTTATTATGCCTGGGGATCCATTACTGCAAATCACCTAAAGCCAATAATAACTCAAGAAAAATGCAGCTATATGAATGATCATCCAGCGTACTGCTAGACAGCACATTCCTTTACTGTTCACAGATTTAAATTCCTTAATCCTTTCACTGTTGGTCCTGTAATATTATGGCTTGCAAGCCAGTATCGGTTTCATAATAGTAAGCCAAAATTCTAGTGGCTTCTAATCTTGTGGGAGAAAGCTGGTAGGCTTATGTATGAGAGAATGAGTCTGAGTGGTCAGTGTGTGCAGTATAAAAAAAATCCTGCAGCACACAATGCATAATGAGAAAAAAAGACTCAGACCATGTTTTTCGTTTAAAACAGTGACATTGCAGTGTATTTTCATATGGTATTTATGGTTGTATTCTCTTTTTCTTGGTCTCATTTGATAGAATGGAAAATATATTACAGAACTAGAGATGATTTTGAATGATTTATGCACTAAAAGTACCTTGAAATTAAGCTCAAAGTAGCAGAATTGTTCGATTTTTGGCTGATGTTCAAGAGTAAACAAATCACGTCATTTGTCCAGCATATGTAACTGGTGGGTCTAATATGCTTTCACAAATGCGCTGATATTATTTATACCAGTTTTACAGTAATGCAGTAGTCTGCATAACTGAATGAATGACTAAAAATTTAAATGGAAAGCAAGTGTAATATAAGAGGGGCCTGGAGATGTGACTAATGAACAGAGAGAATGTTATTTTAGTGCCAGGAATGTCTGCACTGTTTATTCTGGCCCCTATTTTAAAGTTGGCCTTTTTTTAATTTTGTGTGAAATTAGCCAAATTACTAATTTCTGATCACTTTTTTGTGTAGTTGAAATAGGTACTCTTGTACTCAGTCGATAGAATATAAGGAGTTATAGCGATATAGCTATGAGTTTGGTCGAGTGGAACAAAGGAATTGGCCCAAAATAGGGCTAAAAGTGGGTGAAATTGCTGATGCGTAAATATCGCCAAGACTGCTAACTTCGCGAGAGCATAATTTCCTAAGTTTTTCATCAGAGTTTGAACTTTTGGTTTCATTACCTTTGAAAATATTTTCTATCATTTCATGAGAATTTTTTTTTAAATTCTTCGAAACTATGAGCAAGTCTGCGAGCAGAGGTCTCAACACTCAAAGGGTTAATGTCTTATATATGTAAAAGTAAAATACTATCTCATCACATTTTGTAATAATTCAGGTTACTCGTTTCACTCTTGTAATTTTATTTTTTTTTTTATAATTTTTACTTTAAAATAGCAATAATTTTAATATTGTATAATCTAAGTGTTCTTTTTGCCCTTGTACCTTGCCTTGATTTAACCCTTTCAGAGTCCAGAGGCCAAATCTCAAAGTGTCAGCCAGGTTCCAAGAACTTTTGAAAAAAAATTAAAATTCTTACAGAATTAACACTTAAACTGCCCAAACATAGATCTACGTTTGCGCGCGTAGCGCTCCAAACGTAGATCAACGTTTTATTTTTAATTTCTTCAAATTTGGCTCAATAGGCTTGAGTCGCCTAGACATGAAAGAATGGGTCTGTGCACTCAGTGTGTGCACTATTGAAAAAATCTGGGAGCACTTAGTACCTTGTGGGAGCACCAGTTCAATTGAGCACCAGCTAGAGCAAATAGCGTGCAAACACCTACAGATGTAAACAACTATAGGCCAATATCAAACTTAGCATTGCTATCCAAAATCTTCGAGAAACTCGTGCACAGGAGACTATATTCATTTATAACAGTACAAAACATACTCAACTCCTGCCAATTTGGATTCAGGAAAAATAAAAGCACTAATGATGCAATTGTAAAAATGCTAGATCTGCTTTACACAGCATTGGAAAATAAGGAATATCTGCTGGGAATTTTTATTGACCTAAGAAAAGCTTTTGACACAGTAGATCACGGCATCCTACTCCACAAACTTGACCATTATGGTATAAGAGGCCATGCACTTGCATATTTCAAATCCTACCTTGCTAATACTTTAGCTCATTCTAGCACAACACATAGACAATATTAACTTCATTATGTTTATTATTGACTGTATTCTATATAACCAAAGTGCTTTAGTTATATACTTATCCAAACTTCCCACTACTACAGATATCAGTATTAGAACTCACTGCACAATACAGGATATAAATAACCACTATTTAAACCTAGAAGATGAATGATCACGTCGACGCTGATATAAACCTCCACAATATAACACCCAATCGAAACCTACTGGAAAGTAACTGCCTTTATTACACAGCATCACAAGCCAGCACTATCCTAAACAGTGCTAAAAGTCTATCAGTTCTTAACTACAACATCAGGTCCTTAAGCAAACACTGTGATGACCTCCTGGCACTCCTTGAGTCGCTAAAGACACCCTTCTCTTGCATTATTCTAACTGAGACCTGGCTTAAGCAGGACACAATAGATATCTACCCACTACCAGGATATATAGCAATCCACAACTGCAGACCATACCAAGTTGGGGGTGGTATTGCAATCTATTACTCCAACCAACTATCTTGTATTAGCACCACTTGCTTTAGTGATGAATATGGGGAATACATTTTTGCTAATTTTACTGTAAAAGACCTTAACTATAACAATGGGTGCCATTTACCAGATGCCCCACACAAACATCCCAAACTTCAGTGAGAAATTAAAGGCACTAATAACAAACAGACAAATGAACAAGCACCACCTTCCTTTAGCTGGAGACTTCAATATCAACCTTGGCCTATTAGATGATCAGCCTGTAACTGATTTCATCAACAATATGAACAACACACTTCTTATACCAACAATAACTATACCAACCAGGCTCACTGAGACAGGTGCAACCATAATAGACCACATATGGACCAATATACTAGCCCCCCTTAAATCAGGGATAATCACAGACAGCACTACAGACCACTACCCTACCTTCCTCTTAACAAACATTAGTAAACCACCACTGGAATACAATAAAGTTTCATTTAAACTCCATGACGAGGCCTCAATAAGGAAGTTCACAGCAGACCTAGAGACTGTTGACTGGCCTACAGACATTTTTCATAACAAATTACTTAGACTATACAACAAACATTGTCCTATAAAAACGAAACAGATCACGAATAAACAGCTCGGTTGCCCATGGCTAACCAGCAGCATTCTGAAATCCATTGATAAGAAACACTGATATGAAAAGCAATATAGACAGGGCTTAATACACAAAGATATTCTCAAACACTGTTCATCAATTCTCACCAAAGTAATAAAGAAAGCCAAACAACTGTACTACTCCAGCAGATTCACTGACACAAGAGGAGAACACTCTCAGATTCTGGGCACTCACAAACTGAAAAAAAAACAAGAATATTGTCTTAACTAAACCTAACGAAACACCACTGCATCTCACTGAAACAGCTAACAAGATAAACGACTTCTTCTCAACCATAGGATCTAATCTTGCCAGAAAATCCCATGTACCAACGCCCATGCCGGGGACTATATAGATGGGAATTTCCCAAATTCCTTCTGTCTTGTACCAACTGAGCCCACCAAAATCACTGAGCTTATAAAGTCACTTAAAAATAACTCAGGGAACCTGTCTCATGTCCCACCATTATTGTACAAGCGAGCGGCCCATGTATTGTCGCATGCTATTTCATTACTTTTTAACAAGTCACTAGAAACTAGCACCTTCCCGAAACTACTCAAGACAGCAAGAGTTACACCAATACATAAAGGTGGTGACCCTACAGATGTAAACAACTATAGGCCAATATCAAACTTACCATTGCTATCCAAAATCTTCGAGAAACTCGTGCACAGGAGACTGTATTCATTTATAACGGCACAAAACATACTTCATCCCTGCCAATTTGGTTTCAGAAAAAATAAAAGCACTAATGATGCAATTGTAAAAATGCTAGATCTGCTTTACACAGCATTGGAAAATAAGGAATATCCACTAGGAATTTTTATTGACCTAAGAAAAGCTTTTGACACAGTAGACCACAGCATCCTACTCCACAAACTTGACCATGCGCTTGCATATTTCAAATCCTACCTTACTAATAGATATCAGTATGTCACCATTAAAGACACAGCATCATCAACATGGCCACTTGATACTGGAGTTCCACAGGGAAGTGTCCTTGGACCCCTGCTCTTCCTCATTTACATCAATGATCTTCCAAACGTATCCCAACACCTGAAACCCATTCTCTTTGCTGACGACACGACTTATCTCATCTCTTACCCTAATCTTGCCACCCTCAACACCATTGTTAACCCTTTCAGGGTCCGTCCCGTAGATCTACGGCTTTACGGTGAGTGTCCAAACCGTAGATCTACGCCATGAGCTCAGCTCACTCTGATAAACTGTGAGTGGTACATTTGGGCCTAGATATGAGAGAATACATCTATGTGGTATGTGTGCACCACATAAAACAGATCCTGCAGCACACTGTGTATAATGAGAGAAAAAAAATGAAATCATGATTTTTCGATTAAAACAGCAACTTTGCAGTGTTTTTTCGTATGTTTTTTATAGTTGTATTTGCGATTTCTTGGTCTCATTTGATAGAATGGAAGACATATTACAGAAATAGAGATGATTTTGATTGGTTTTTAGCATTGGAAATGGCTTGAAACTGAGCTCAAAGTAGCGGAAATGTTAAATTTTTGCCGATATTCAAGAGTAAACAAACGACCTCACACGTCTAATACACATCAGCTGGTGGGTCTAATATACATTCACAAATATGGTGATGAT